TACTACTACTACTACTACTACTACTACTAGTACTAGTAGTACTAGTACTAGTACTAGTACTACTACTACTACTACTACTACTACTACTCCTGCTGCTGCTGCTGCTACTACTACTACTAGTAGCAATAACCACAATCGCACGATTACCACCACTACCACTACTTACTTCTGCCCCGACCAACACTGCCACCACTACTACTGTTGCCCGTTGTATGAGCACGCCACCTGGAGCCCTGGAAGTTTCGATTGGTTGTTCTGAAAACTCATGCCTGAAGAACCGAAGCTATTTCCCTTCTTTGCTGTTGGCCCAGGGTCTATTGGAACGATCCGACCTTGGTCGACCTGGACGACCAGAGCCGAATGTGGGAGGTGATCCAAATGGGTGGCCCGTCAGAACGGGCCAGGGTTTGGGGCAGAAGACATCGCGGAGGAAGACAGCTGTATCCCGCGAGGATTCCCTACTGAAGATTCTCTTGTGGCTCCACCAGCATCTTTAGTTGCAGCCCCTACAGCATTCAACTTGACAGTTCTGCAGAATACATCCGGAAGCACAGTTCACCGTGACTTTCCGAGAGCACTGCATGATCTGTCACTAAGGCTTCCAGCAAGTCGAAGACGTCCTTGACAGCGTCTGGGCTTGGCCAACCTCAGGGGGCTCGAAGCAAAGCGTGTCGAGCATACATGGGTAGTTCTCCTGTTTAGGTCCCCAATATAGTACNNAAAAAGGACCCTAACAGGGACCCCAATTTAGTGAACTACCCTTTTAGTGAAGTGAGCCGAAAACCAAACTCAGAAGCTACCAGGAGCCAGAAAGCCGGAGACAAAACGAGGCGCAGCAGCAGGCAAATCAGAAAGACAATGATTCTCGCAGTCGTTAGAATATTGCGGCGTTACGGCATGTTATGGCATGTTTCGAAGTTTTCTGAAAGCTGTAAGATCCGAGGTTGCAGAAGATCTTGGATCCCAAACCCCACTGATGATACTGAATGCCCAGTACCGAGGCATTAACCTGGGCCACTACCGCGACTACTTCATAGCCAAGGGCATGTTCTACGGTGCGAAGATGCGTGCGCTGTCGCGCAAGTTTCTGGCAGCAACCTCAGGTGCATGGAACATCATTATGACGCCGGAGGCTCGGTCTCCCTGTGTGCTGCTAGAGTCCGTGAGGATCTACACATGCCAGCAATCACCGACCCAGACGAGAAGGATCGAGAGGGCTGGGCGCACATGTGTTTTTGGAATATTCAAGGGAGCACGCGTGTGTCAGCACTACCTACCAAGATCTCAACGTTGCCCCCTGCCACAGGTTTAGCCTACAGACTGTCGGGTGCCTTAACATCCAAAAACAAACCATGTGATCAAGGAAGAGTGGCCTTTCGGCAAGCATGTTTGCTTGCAATGCATGCATGCATGCATGCACATGTATGT